TGAAAAATACATGTATGGTAAAGAATTTTGCGCATTGAGCTGCAAAATTAGAAAACAAGGTAAATATATATATATACGCTTTTGGTGCGACCGATTGCAGCCAAAAAGGGAGGTGCACAACTACATATTTAGCAGTCCCATATACAAAATTTCAACATTCTGAGGCTACTCATTTTTGAGTTATGCGAGATACATACAGAAGCGCACCACTTAAGAGGTCGCTCGAGGGCAGGAGAGACGATGTTAAAAAAAGATGGCGGTCAGGAAGGCCGCAACTTCAGAAACGAAATATGTACATGATATATAAAAATGGCAATAATGGCAAAATGAATTTATACATACGTACGTACGTATGCACAGACATCATGAAACATTCTCTTCTTAATTCATTTAAATCCTTTTTGTAGCCCGTTTAAGGGTAAAAGAGTCCTTTATTCTGTCCTTAGGTACAGATATCACCATGGAGGTAGGAAGTACCTTTCTTATCTCCATGGCTGTCACGCAGGAACATCGTTAAATTGCTTTCGATAGCGGTCAAAATCGACATTATCTTTGAAATATGATATCCAAAATTTTTCGCTATTAGAATACTCCCTTTACTTCATACAAGGAAGTAAAAAACACTGTGGACTCCAAGGTTTTTTATATCTAAAGCTACGACAAATAGTGGGGTCAACAAGAAAGAAAACATATAGTCAAAGTTTGGATTCAAGTGAAAAAGTATTCCAAATACATATCCAAGGAAAAAACTTAATTTTTTTAATATCGGCAAAGGCGCTTAGCGTTAAAAGAAAATCCGCCAAGTCAAAGAACAGCTTCAAAATCATTAGAATGATCAGTGTCAGTTGTTAACAAAGTGATTAATGCTGATTTCAATCTTAAAAAAGCAACAAAATATAAGGTGCTTAAAAAATATAATGTCTTAAAAAAGCAACAAATAAAAATCTTTCGCCACGACACATCGCCGAACGCAGAACGTGCTGCAGAATGTTTTATAAGAAACATTTATCCAGACAAAATTGGAAAATGTTTCTCGATAAATCTTTACTACATTTAAATAACTGCAATAAAAATAGATTCATTTATTATCGTCAAAGATGAGAAAAAATCTAAAATATTGTTCAAAGAATCGAAAGAATGTTTTTCAAAGGGATTTTTGATTGCTGCAGCTTTTTCATGTAACGGCAGATTGAAAACAAACAAAGTGGAGAAAAATGCTAAGATCAACTCCACACATTATCAGAAACATATTATATACCCAACTTTCACACACGAAATATCGTCTCTTTACTCACAACACTATCACAATATCAATCAGTAGAACTGCAGCAAGACAAAACAAGCAGCCACACCTCAAAATCCACTGTTACTTTCCAGAAAAAAATGAAACACGAAAACGGGTATCAATACCATACCCTTCACTCATATCCTTAAAACATCTCCTGATGTATCGCCCACGGATTTTTATGCTTTCATTTTTAATGCTTTCACACTTTTAAAAAGCGGATTGTCCAAACGTCGACCTATAACCTTCCTTGGACTTACAAGAGAACAGCTCATGTAGTCTCACAACTAGATTTAGGATACCTTTGCAAAGAACAGCTCATGTAGTCTAACAACTCGATTTAGGATACCTTTTCAAAGAACAGCTTATGTAATCTAGCAACTCGATTTAGAATACCTTTGCAAAGCTCATGTAGTCTAACAACTAGATTTACGATACCTTTGGAAAGAACAGCTGATATAGCCTAACAGCTACATTTAGGATATCTTTTCAAAGAACAGCTCATGTAGTCTAACAACTAGATTTAGGATACCATTGCAAAGAACAGCTCATGTAGTGTAACAACTAGATTTAGAATACCTTTCCAAAGACCAGCTCATGTAGTCTAACAACTAGATTTAGCAATGTCAGGTACCAGTATATACTCTGAGATGCACACCAGACAATTCTGAATAAATATAAGACATCTCTATAAGAAGGAATCTCGAGATACAAGAATGAATTCCTTAACAGCCTATCAGATCATCTAAGACAAAGGAAAGGCATTCAAGAATAATGAAATAAAATACCTTTTCCGATAGTATGAAAGGTTTCATTGTCTTGAAAATTACGGCGCAAGAAGAATAATGAAGAGAATAAGGGTTATCAAACAGGACATTTAAAACACAAAAATTTCAAGTAAAATATTTCTTTAAATACAATTAAAATCGTCTAAAATATGTGTGAACAGCCTCTGTAGAAATACAAGCTACCGAAAGCAAAAACAAATACGCGAATTCCAAAGTTCTTTCAAGCGTTCCGGCGTTTTCCTTTAACAGTAGTAAAACGTAATGGAAGACAAGTGGCAATGTGGTGAGCGTTCACAAAACAGTTCCGATAGAAGGGCACGGCGATTAGAGGCAATTCCAAATTGGAAGAGATGAGCTGAAGGGCTGTTATGTCTGGTGATCAAAGCGGGAGGCAAAAACGGTTTTGTCTTAGATGATCACCAGATCACCAGATCAGGCTGTTAAGGAATTCATTCTTGTATCTCGAGATTCCTTCTTGTAGAGATGTCTGATATTTCAGAATTGTCTGGTGTGCATCTCAGAGTATAGACTGGTACATGACATTGCTAAATCTAGTTATTAGACTACATGAGCTGTTCTTTGCAAAGGTTTCCTAAATCTAGTTGTTAGACTACATGAGCTGTTCTTTGCAAAGGTATCCTAAATCTAGTTGTTAGATTACATGAGCTGTGCTTTTCTTTTCAAAGGTATCCTAAATCTAGTTGTTAGACTACATGAGCTGTTCTTTCGAAAGGCATCTTAAATCTAGTTGTTAGACTGCATGAGCTGTTCATTCGAAAGATATCCTAAATCTAGTTGTTTGACTACATCAGCTGTTCTTTCCAACGGTTGTTGTTTACAAAGGTATCCGCGAGCTCTTTGTCAGGGATTCTACAATGAAAAGGAAGGAGTACCGGGGCTAGATTTTTTGTTTCCGACAGCAGTGCCTATAGCCCCTAAGTTCTGCTTCCTAAGCCCTAAAATTTTCTGCTTCTGAATTCCACCGCCCGATGTGATCATACCGAGTTAATTCCTGGTCTGGGATGTAATTGTTTTGTGACATTCGGTGAGGCTACAGTAAAAAATCCGGCTTTCCTAAACTTCCTGACTAGTTCCCGCTCTGTGCTGATTCTCAGTAGCTAGAATAGCTTTGCTAGAGTCAAAGTGGATCTCAGTCTCTGGCAGAAATATTAAAGAAGTTTCTTCTGCCAAAGATTGTGATACCCTGCAACTCTGTAAATAAATCTTATAGAACAATATTTAGAGCCTTTATTTCATTGTCAAAAGAGTTCAGTTAGTCAAAACTAACTGATGAATTGACGAAGCTTCCACAGAAAATTCTAGCTCTAAATATTATTCATTAACAAAAATTTGAGGATTTCTATCACACGAGGAGTGCCATTGTGAAACGCTTTCCAACGAACTTAACGAAGATTAACTTCTAGCAGGCTAGAAGACATAGCAAAACTGACAGAAAAAAAAAAAAAAAAAAAAAAAAAAAAAAAACTCAACCTCTGTTGAAGATGCTTTAGTTTCAATTTTCTTCGACTCACGTATGGCGCTTTCACCAACACCAAACATCTTTGCTGCAGCGCGATTTTCATTTTATTTCGCAAATTGAATGACTTTGCATTCGAAAACAGCACTGTGTTTGTTTCGTTTGGCAGGAGCCATATTTACTGCTAAAAAGAACAAATGTATTTCAACTAAATCAACTGTATTTCAACTAAAGCAACTTTCTAGATCAACTGTATTTCATCTAAAGCAAACGCAATTTCCTAAAGCCTTGGATGTTCACTTCCAAATCATGGCTTCAAATGACTATAGAAAGAGAAAACATCTTACTCTCAGTTTCCCGAATTCATTCGAATGAAAGAGCATTCTTGCCCCAAATCCTGTCCCTCTTTTCTCGAAACCCTGGACTAACATTCTTGTACTTGCAGTGAAGACAACCTACCCTCTTTGCAGAATTATTTACTCCCTGAAACACTTCTCCCAGAAACATATTGTTCCCCTTATCGTTTGCAAATTCAGCATATTGTTAGAAAGCCTGAGAAAAATCATCGAATGAATAATTTCAAAAAATAAGAGCACCGCATGTGTATCTTTTAGGTTTTCTTGTAAAGGAAAGGTTGCGCGTTATACGTCGACTATACCTACAAATTTAAAACTGTAGTTTTAAATTATAGATGGGTGTTATACACCTGTGCACTGGAGTTGACGCTGGAGACATGAAAAATGTGCAGTGCCCTCGCCTGGATTCGAACCCTGAATCTCTGGAATCCACGTCGAACGTGCTCCCACTTACGTCACGAAAGCACGCGGAAAAGAGGAAGAAAATTCCTTATACCTGTCTGGATTTGGTCAGCTGCCTTTCCACAGTGCTTCTTTAAGTGAGGGAGAATATAAGGAATTATCTCATCTCTCCATTTAAACGTAGTATGTTCAGCTAACAAGTGAAAAGTTTGTGGTTCGAATCAAGGCGACAGTATAGCTGATTTATCTCTTTTTCTGTTTTTCCTAGTGATTTTATTTAAAATCTTTTAAATTATTAAGAATTACATTTACAACTTTTAAATCGATTAGTTCGTTAATCATTTCGATCAAAATTGAATGGCAAATTAAAAACCCATCTAATGTCAACACTCTGAAAACTGGCTATTTGCGGGGCCGCGTTGCAGATAAATCAAAAGATCTTACGTATAGCGTAATATCAACACTATTCAAATGGCGTCGATAATTAACAAATGGAAAAGTAACGTAATGTAAATATGAATAGACCAGAAATTTTGGAAAGACATCAAAATAAAGTTTTAAAATATTTCCGCTACCACAGTAAATTTTTTGGTAGTTTACATTGAGTCTTGTTCTATGATTTTGAGAACACTTATTTGTAAAATTAATTTGTTAAAATGAAAGAAAGTTATATTTTTATATTAATTTCTCACCTGCACACCTCCATATCCGTAAGGTCCTAAAAATGATTCACATTCTTCTGCTATATCGTTCCATTTCCATTCGAAAAGGTGAACAATGGTTGTTCTACCAGATGCCATGTTAGGTTCATGGTGAGTACAACTGCAGTCTTCCCACAGAAACAGAACGCAAAACGCTAGTACGAATGGTACGTGCGAAGCCATTTGCGCTTTCTACCAACTAAACGCAATGCCAGGCTTCTTCTTTTAAGAGAATCTCATTCAAGGAACTGACGTCACATCTCCATCTGTCTTTTGGCACTGATTATTTCCTATTTGTAGTTGTTGAAATTTCATGCCTCTTTTAACTTTCATTTTGCAATTTTATATCTCTGTTTATAAGTTTAGTGTTGATAAACGCTTATATATTTTTTTTTTTTATTATTATTTTCAAATACCATTTCCTTTTTGGAAAGTAAAGACAACAAGTTTTGCATATAAATGTTAAAATATGTAATATTTATGTGTAAAAAATTGTTTTCCTGAAAGCAGAGCTTTTCAAAGACACCTGCTCACAAATCACTGATAAATAATCAGTGCACAATATGTTAATTTTCATGCGAATTCGTCCATATGCCAAATCGCATATCAAAAATCTGTGATAGTTTATCGAATAAGGCACTGTTATGCAACCCTTGGTTCGTGACCCCAGATTTTATGTAAATAATGTTTACGTTTTTGTTTCAATACATTCTAGGTACTGTTTCTAGTTAGATAAAAATTTGTGACCCTTTTAATACCTAAATTAGAATTACCAGACTTACCGTCATAAGTCTGCTTAATTTACTATCTACGACGACATAAATTTGATACCTGAATATAGGAGGAATGTTGCAAAATAAGTTTTCATGTTAAACATTTAATTTACCAACTCTTGTTCGATCAGCATTTCATAACACAAAAAAGAAAACAACATTAACAACAAAACAACAGAGTCATTAAGCTTTCTGAAGCACAATTTGGTTGTTTGGACTAAAGCAAAGCACACAAAGTTTTCCTCCTTCAGGCTTAAGAGATGCTTTCGTGGAGGAATTTTAAAGAAAACCGATTCGCTTTTACATTGCACATGGAGGAATTTCACGACACATCTCATAAAGCCTGCAACGAAAGCCTCATAAAGCCTGCACTCGCTGATGGAATTTTAGCCTGCAACGAATGTTTAGATTACAGCATGATAGCCAGAGGAATGGTTTGGTTTGGTTCATTGGATTATGGCAAAGCACTTAGGGCTATCTGCCTAAGGGAATGGATGCCTTTGTCGTGAACTTTCTAAGGGAAACTTGCTAAACGCCCATGCAGCCAGCACGTTCGTCTGAAATGGAACCCAGATCGAACTACCACTGTTCAGCGACTCTGCATCCGCTCGGTCGCTGACGAAATGGTCTTTTAAAATAGGAAATTTTGAAGAATAAAATGTTCGCCAGGAAAAAAGTTCGAGTTTTCCTATGCCGAGCTGAATCGTCGTCCGGACGGGACACTAGTTAATGTCTGCGAATGCCGTAGAGAAGAATCAGGTTTCGAATCCCGGAGGATGTTTGTAAATGTACAGTGTCTAGGTGGCAACGGAATCTCAAATTACAAGGCGACCCGAAATTCTCTCGAGATATCGGTAGTGGGCGCAGAGGGCTGGAGATCCTCATATTGCACTCCGGGGTTTTCTTCTTCGGAACTTGATACTTTGATACAAAAGTAGTTATACAAAGGTTCTACTTCCCTGTAAACCTGAAAGAAGTCCACAATGGGCATGGTGATGAAAGTACATGAGTGTATCCCATGGAGGGAGCAGAGAGAGGAGGGGGGAAGATAAAAATTCCTCAGGCCCTCAGTCGCCCTGCAACTGGCGAGGGAGAAGAAAATAAAGTCCAGAAGCCGGTCGAGCAGGTGGCGCCATCTGATGTCGAAATCGGAGAATTTCAGCCAAGGCTAATTTTGAGGTCATGTGTGTCTCGTCGACAAATCAGGGCAGGATTGTGGAGCGAATATTTCGGACCTGGGAGAGGTGCTACAATTCTATGGAGTCCGCCATCTTGAACGTGTTTAGCATTTCTTCGGAGCATTATCCGGGACAAAACCTTTAGTAATCGGCAAGGCACGGCGGTACCTAATATACCTACTTACATGGATGCGCAGGTTCGGCTTTGCATCAACCTGTACCAGTCCATCTAAATCTGCTGGCCACTGTATTGTAAGTGCTTATAGTAGGCGATATGTCTTTACACAGGCATTCAAAAATCATTACATCGTAAATGATTTTACATACTAGAAGAGTACTTAATGTAAAGACAGGGCATAAAGACCGTAACTGTATAAATTTAAATCAAAATTTCATTATGAATCGTTTTTAAAGAAGCATTCCCCAAATTTGCAATTATTTATATTTAGATTTTTAGAAGATTAAATTTTAATCTCGGGTTATAAGGTACATTCAGTTCAATACATGAATTTTAGAAGATTAAATTTTTAATCGCGTGTTATAAGGCACATTCAGTTCAATCCATGAATTTTAGAAGATTAAATTTTAATCGCGTGTTATAAGGCACATTCAGTTCAATCCATGAATTTTAGAAGATTAAATTTTAATCGCGGGTTATAAGGTACATTCAGTTCAATCCATGAATTTTAGAATATTAAATTTTAATCGCGGGTTATAAGGTAAATTCAATTCAATCCATATTTAAGGGTTTGAACGCATGCTTCAACATATTCACAACTTCCGAAGCGTAAAAGTTTGTTAGCTTGGAGGTACTTTTATTTTATTTTCAGAAATTCTTCAACGGACACATTACAGGTTTTTGAGACGTTACGTAACGGTACGGTACCACGCATTTATCATCCATGGCAAATGTTGCCACTTGTAGTTATTGCTCTGCTACACACCAGTGAATATTAATCCATAAATCGATGGTATCCTTGAATTTAATTTTATTTTAAGGAGTTCGAAATAAGACAGATAAAATTACAATTTGTATAACTGATGTAGATAATATTGTTGCGTGCGTACGGGTTCATAATAGATTGAATGCACAAACCTGTTGAAAAGTTAATAAAATTATTCTTATCTCAAGAAATAAAACAAAATGCTGAAATTTTTCCTCACATATATTCGTACAATATCACAACAGTGGTTATATTTTAAACTACTATAAACCGTTAAACAGAACACAATTAAAAGCTCAGAGAAAGCTAATCCGATCTCACCGCAAATTCGCTAAAGTCAACAACAGCAGTTATCTAACAACTGAACTGATATGTTTCTCTCCGACTTTTACAAGCTATTTAATCAGTCACGAGAAGCTTCTTGTAAATTTCTATTTTCTCGAGGTTTCTGGAAAGCAAAAGCAATTACGAGATATCTATTCATTAAATGCACATGCTCCTGTATTTTTTTACTTTTTCGGCGCAGCTTTCTCTTAAAACTCATCACGCGCTGCACTGCACGGGCAAATGAAACAATTTTAATTACAATTCTACTAAAAATAGCTAACTGAATGCAAAAGCCATAATATAAATTTATTTCTTTATTTTACAAACTATTCAAAGTTCTGGAAAAGCTAATTTTACCTGTCTTTCTTACAGGGACGTAGCTTGAGGGAGCAAGGGGGCATCTGTCTCCGGGCGCAGAATCCAAGGGGCGCCAAATTGATGTTACGACATTTTAGAATTAAATGTTTTCCATCCTTGGCAAGCAGTAGGGGGCGCGAAATCTTCAGTTGTCCATGGGTGCTGAAAACCCTAGCTACGATTCTGCTTCCTTAAACCGTTAGTTTTTCAAAAATATATAAGTTATGTGTTCCAAAAAATGTCTTCTTTTCTCTGGTTTGTTTCATCTCAAGAATACTGCTGTACTCTCCATAAGCAAAAACTGATTGTTTATGCTACTGACAAAGCTTCCAGTCAAAAACACAGTAAACTTAAGCTTTTAAGGAGTTAAATTTATTTGCGGATTTTGTGACAGCACGTTGAGTTAGCTTCAATAATTCTCGCTCCTTCAAGTGTTACATGTATCTCCGATAATCTTATCACATTCTTCCCGCGGGCGATGGACGAGATCTTTCTTCGATCGCCGGCAGTCATCCTGATATTAGGTTTCCCATTTTTAGGTCAATAGATCATTTTCAAGCTAACATATGCTAAAAAATTAACTAAATAAATAATAACGAAAGACAAATTTGGATTTGTAGAATGTTTCCATAATGAGCGTTGTGTTTCTTTATATACACTGGTGTGCAAAAATTAAGGACGAAGTCGAAAAATTAGCATATCAGCTGAACGAAGAGACAGAGCGGACAGAAAGACCAATCAGGAGATTAAGTAAGGTGATGTACGGTAGCACATGCGCAGATATGCAGGTAGACGTAATGGGGGAGTGTCTGAGTAGTATAAAGCATGTTGTCGGTGTAAGATCAGTATTTCTGGCAAAGAGATTGCACGCCGTATAGCAGTTAAAATCACACCGAGTTGCTGCCTCAGCGAGAAATGGCGAATAATCCAATCTGTTAGACGACATCTGGATGCTTTTACCCGAGGTCGAATCATTGGGAAGTTGGAGGAAGGCCGCAGTGTGACAAGTGTGGCTGCGGAGTTCGGAATTGCTCACAGCATCGTTTCACGACTTTGGAGACAATTTTAAACTACAGAAACAGCTATCCGGGGGTTTAGTAGTGGTCGTCCACGAGGAACCACACCCGCAGATGACCAGTATATTGCCTTAAAGCGTTATCACATTAGCTGTTTGTTGCCGGAACAAAACGTTTGCAGCAACAGTTCTGAGAAACGGCCTTTGGAGAAATAGGGTTACCATCTTCACTTGGTAAACAGGCTGAAAACCAAACAAGAATCAGTTATCGCTCAGATTGGCGAAAGTGACGTTTCCTTTCAAGTGACATTCGCTTCTTCGTCTTGTTTTGTATCGCTCACACGCTTTTCGTTTTAAACTTTATTGTTAGTAATGGAAGATAATAGAATAATGATTGCTATCAAGTTAATCACTTTGATCTCCACTCTGGCACTTCATGTAACAGATAAACACACTTCTGGTTATAGCAATCAATTACATCAGTAATAGCCAAATTCTGCATACACTAAGAATAGTTTAAAAACATGTACTGGATAAGTCTATTTATCACACATTGCTTATGTGTATTTTCTGTTGTCTGCATTTCAATGAAAATTTGATGGCTCACTGGAAA